TACATGCTCTGGTCTAGCTGGATCTATAAGGTAGAATTGGGTTCATGATAGTGGGTGGGAGGTAGGACGGGGAGAGGAAGCATTAAAGAACTCGAGCAAAGTTCTAGCTTTCTATCTATCCCTGATTACATGCTAGGGATTACTGTAAGAACTTTATATCTAGAAGACTCATTGACAGCCTTCCTTCCAACTCTCTACTAATATTATTCCTACCACACAGATATAAAGTATACTCCTAGAAACCCTACAGAGCACAGGTCTGTTGTGACATGCATGGGCCACCGTGAATCAGTCATCAAAGAGCAGTTGCTATTGAGGTTCAAACTTGGCAACATAGCTGTGGAGTTCTTGCTCATGACCACTATCTTACCTTTGTTCTTTTGTTTGTGCAATGTGAAGTATTTCCATCAAGACCAGCACTCCTTTAAAGGAAAGGTCAGGTTCTATTCCTGACTGGCTACTTATCAAGGTGTGACCTATGGGAAGTCTCTTACTCAATTTCCTCTATGTAACCAACTAGACTCAATGGTCCACTTCCAGTCACACAAGGCGGTGACGATCAAATAGGCGCTGTTTACATACATACTTGACTCTGCTTTGTTGAATTCCAAAATCATAAAATGCCAGCAAATAAAATGCAATTTCTTTGCTGTCTGTCCTCACACTACATTTGAATCTCTTGAAGGTTAGTCCCATTATATATTAAGAGACAGAGACAGTAATGATCCCTTTTGTCTATTGACTTTTTAAGTTAATAACTTGGACTTCACAAACTTTTCTTCTTTGCTTGGCATGGGTGATAGGAGAGCAAAATTTGAGCTATGAAACTTGTAATTAAAGTGGACAAACGTCAAACGTTTTCTTGAATGGTTATTAGAATAGGATCTCATCTCTAATTAAAAAAACACACTTAAAAGGATATAAAGGAAAGAATTAGGAGACAAAAGGCATTTATAGAGGTCAAATACAGGGCATGTACTTAAGTAAATATATTTACAGTGAACCCTCGGTTCTAGACCCTACCGTGATAAATGAAATTCCGCGAAGTAGGATTCCTTATTTGTAAATCAAATATTTTCGTAGTTAGAGCATAGAGGACAT